CTCATCCAAATTGCCACAAAACAGATGCATTTATTTTTGTGCTCTTTTGGGAAAGTGTAAATTAGCTGATGCATTTGATAATAAATTGCTGTACATATCATGTGAATCACTGAGATGTTCCAACATAACGAGACGAAATTCAAGTATAATATTTGAAATATTTAAATACCTATACTGTAATATTTCTCCCCTTATTAATCATAGATGAGGTGTGGGCTGGTTTCGCTGTGAGTTTATCAGTGATTGTGTATTTTTTACAGAAATTTAAAGAAAAATCCACCAGAATTCTACTTTCCAGTGACCTTCCTATTCTCTGCCTTGTCCATGCCAGAAATGGCCTCATGGCTAAAGATTGTGTACAGCCTGAAGCGCGCAGTTTACCATCAGTATTGAGTTGGATAATCTTGGCTGACTTGAGTTAGGACAGCAGTTGAAACTGCAATTAGCCCCAGCTCCACCTTCTACAAACTCCAGATTGTACAGAACTCTGCAGCCCATGTCCACTCCCATCATCCCCATCGCAATCCCATCATACCCATCCTGGCTAGCTCCACTAGCGTCCCGTATACATTTAAGATACTTGTATACCTTTAAAATTCTTCCGTCGTCTTGACTACCCTATGTCTCTGTGACCTCCTGCCACCTTATTTATCTGGAGCAACTCCAGCCTGCTTTACTCACCCCTCACACCCCCTCTGCCATCACCCCACTATCACTGGGTGGGCTTCAGCCACTCTGGAACTCTCTCTGAAATCCCTTCAACTCACCATCCCTCTCCACTTCCAAATTTTGCCTGAAGTCTTAACCAATCTCTTTCACTGTGCTTTCGGCTGTCTCCCTCGCTTTCCCCTACTAACCCCCAAATCTGCCACTTAGCTTGGCTCCCTCTCAGTTTTTGTTTTGAGCAATTAAAGACATTCTCCCAAAGTGAAAGGCTGTGTATAACAACAACTTGCATTCTTATAGCGCCCCTCACGCATGATAGTGTCCCAGAGCACTTATAAGTGTAAATTATTGTGGACGTTGTGATTGCTGGGTAAGAGGAGATCCTTTCCAGTTGGGGAATGAATGAATGAGCTGGGTGAGTGGGAGAAGTTTTACAACACCTACCATTGGGACAGGAGGACACTGTAACTGCCTGTACCAGCAACTGAGGGAGACAACTCACTTTCAGACCTTATAGTTTCAAACTTTTAATTGACTACTAGTAAAGGATGGATTTTGAGCAGCAGCAAAATCGCTGCCAATAAATTCCATTGACGTTGTTCTTCCTGGAGAAAAGGTTATGGAAAGTTCAAACTCTCTTTCACAGCAGTTTACTTTCCTTTTTCTCAACTTTGAATTAAAGGCAGTTTATAACTAGAATTAAGTACTGTTTACAACAACAAGTCACATTTGTTTAACGGCTTTCACGTCAGGCGGGTCTTTTTTTGTGAGCTCTTGAGTCTCAGTGCCATGTACTGCATGTTGGGGGAGAATCTGCACAGTCCAGTCTACCTCTGCCAATGCTGACTCAGAGGCAGTTGCTGGAAGCTCGAGGAGGTCAGATCACTTGGCTTTGTGCTGCAGTATGTTACAACATACAAAGGGGCATTGCCTGTTCTTGGTAATTGTTTCATTTCCACTATGCATTCTTTAGAGCAGTGTGAGAAATCAATGTACTGGTAAGCACACCAAGCATTCTTGCTATTGTAGCAGCAGTTAGTATTTGTTTTGACCTCATTCCTCTACCCCCAGATACNTTTTTCAAAGGTAACGTCGATTAAATTGTTTCCGTCCACAGTCACCCCACCCAAGTAACCACTCGTGTGAACCGAGATGGCAAGTTTTAACTGACCACAGGGGATATCATAGTCTAGCCAAATTCAGTCCATATACATACGTAAGCCGTTTCCAGCAGGTCACTGAATAGTGATAAAGACTGAGAACAAAGGCTGGCTTATTTTTTTCCCCCACCCAGTGATTGTACTATTGTCCAGGTGTGAGCTCAGATAAATTAGCTCTGACCAGAGACAGAACCTGTGACTACTGGTTAGTTATTGCATTTAATATAATAATCCTTGCATTTGATATAGCGCCTTATCACGTCTTCGAGACGTCTCAAAGCACTTCACAGAATATACTGTAAAGTGAATTGACTGTATATTCTGTGGGCGAAACGCAGCAGCCAATTGCTCACAGCAGCGTCCCATAAACAGTCATGGATTGAGTGACATTTTTTGAAGGAATTATTTTTATAATGTATAGTGAAGTGACGTGATTTACGACAATGGAGGCCACGACTGGTGTCAGCGGGGATACACTGGCTCTCATTCCTCACTGTGCAATTCTGTTATTCTCCAGCAGGCGCACACACCCTGGTGATAGCTTCACATGTGCACAACAGCCACGTGTGTGACACCCTGCAGGAGATGGTGGTATCCCAGCATATGGTCAGGAGAGGAAGCAGAATGATGAACTGGTGTCTTAACTGCTTTGTTTGCGCAGAGGAAGGGGGCAGTTAATGTCCATTCACTCACAACATTTCACCGACAAAATGTACAGTTAATTTCAGGCCCACCAATAAAATTGGTCCCCCACTTTATAGCTATTTGTGAGACATTGATGTGCGCAAATTGGCTGCTTCATTTGCCCATAAAACATACCATCACACCACTTTACAGTGAAACTTGCTTAACGTATCGCCCTGCCCGGGAATCGAACCCTGGGCCTCTCGCATGCGAGGTGAGTCCTCTAACCACTAAGCTACAGGACTCAAAATAAATATATATTTGTTTAGATGCTGGGTTTACTATAATGCTGAAGGGATAGTTCCAAACTGTAAACTAGTCCTTAGTGAAATGTTTGTGGTCTCCACAGTTGGTAGCAAGATCTATTTCTTGTTTTGCAAAAGGAAAAATCCCATCAAGAAAGACAGTTACTGTGAAGTGATCGCAATATTTTGACATAATAAGGTACTGTAAAAACATCTTGCTGATGTGGCCAGAGACTCTCTTGCAGCCCGGGAGAGAGATCTTACTAAACTCTAGCCAACGTGAGACAGTACAAACAGTCCAACCAGTATTAATATGACAAATTTAAATCATTCTCTAAACCTCTTCTGCCCTTCCTGTCTGTACACAATGTTCCTGACGTTGTGACAGGTAGGGCATATGACTCTGGAAAAGGATATTTTATACCTGATCAAACTTTCTGAATGTGTTACATTTGCGATGCTCTCACCATTAGATTCTTCAAAACTGGGAACCCTAATGCCAATAGCTGGCTAACGTCTCAGTAGAACTCCATGTCGTGTTATGTAGGAGAGATGTGGAAACCACACCTGGTAGAGAAACTCAGATGTGTGAGGGCAGCCAGGATCCCAGCCTACTCACCAGCCTTCATCACTGCAGCAGCTTCACATTCTCACTGCATTGTGCACCTACTCTAGTTATAGGGGACACTGTAAAAATGAAATTGCATCAAATGTCTAATATTTTCTGTATTTGCTGGTCTCGAGGTTCTTTGACAAACGAGAACATTGCTTTATATTACTGCTGTTGCTCTTGTTTGCCTTTCTGTAGAGATTTAGCCTTTGCACCTACTTATTTTCTTGGGTAGTTGATTTGAATGTTTCAGGGGTGCTGATAGTGGTGACTCCCTATCCAAGAGAGAAATCATGGCTATCCAGTAATATATATGTCATAGACAGCTGCTGTTTTTAGATATTTTACAGCATGAGCTGTAGTCTGCATTGAATAGTATGGGTGACGTTCACATGTGGCTGCTCTGGATTCCAACCCAGATCGCAATTACTTTAGTTTTAAACTCTTACAGACTCAAATATTCTGATGCACTGAAGCCTTTGATGGGCTTAACATTATCCTATTCTATTCCTTACACTTTCGTCTTATCTTACACTTGCTTGGTGTGCCAAGAAATTTAAATGTGTGTTGCTCCTGGAAATGTATTCATATTTTCTGTGTCACTGAACAACGGGGATTTTTACTGGAGATTTTCACTGCGAGGTGGCAGTGAACCTCCAGCAGACGATAGCCTCTCACATTCAGTCAGAATATGATTATGCTTGCTGCTGAATCACTTGCACAATCCTTTAATTCTAGTTTATGGTACTCTTCTGTTCAAAATTTACAGTATTAGTTTCTTAAATGGTTTAACATTCCTGGAGAAAATCAGTGTTTAAGGGGTCAACTCCATATATGAAAGTCACCAGCCTATATCTCAGGATTACCTGTCCCTCTATATAACAATAGTAACGAATGACCCAAAAGGAGGCCATTCTGCCTATCTTTTTTTCATGTTAATATTTGCTGTTCCAAGAACCTATCCAGCCCAATGCATTTTCCTGGTCTTTTCCCGTACACTCTAAAACCCCTATTCTGCCTATGTCGAGTTCTATTTTAAATGCCGCATTTGACTCTGCTGTAACTAACGGCCTTGGCAAATCATTCTACACAGTGACTGCACTCTGGGAGAAGACATTCTTCCAAACCTCTCCTTTTACTCCCCGAGTCACAATCATGAATTTGTACCGTCTGACCTTGATTTCCTTTTTCATAATTTTTAAATCTTTCGGTATCTTAAACGCCTCAATCATTTAACCCAGTCTCTCTGCTTCACTCCGAATCACCTTGTGTTTCCCGAGTTCCCGTGATATTCTGGTAATTGGACTCTGTGGAACAAAGTAAAAATGAAGGCCCTCTCACTTCACTTCTAATTCCTGATTCTTTTTTGGCCAATGATGTTGTAGGATATTTAGGAAAGAAAGAAATGTTCAACCCTCACCTCACTGTAATGATCGAGGGTAATGGCGGGTTAAGAACCAAAGTTCTGTCTTTAGAAATATATTTGAGAGATTAGAAACTCTTTGAACACGTCTTAAACAAATATTGGATTCTAAATTTGGCTCAATATAAACGTGTCTTTCTCACAGATCTGATTAGCATCTTCTACTTTGCTCCTTAGAATATTCTGACCAACTCTCTGATTGCTTTCCCCAGGTGCTGAATGCTCAGCGGGCTGGATACAAGGCTGCCATTGTCCACAATGTTGACTCAGATGAACTTATTAGTATGGGGTCCAATGATGGTAAGTAACCCAGTTATGTACTATCAGTGAGTAAAAGCACATTTGTTGAGCTAGGATTGCTTACAGACAGTGCAGTTCTGTAAATTAAATGCATTTATTTTAATTATATGTTACTTCTCTGGCAGGGCTTATCATTCTCTGTCTGTTCTTTCCTTCCCCCACCACCTCCTGTTTCTAATTTGGTTTCCCAGTTCCCCAGGACCCAGCCATGCCTGTGCATCATATCCCAGGAGTATTGAGTAATTGAGTTTGATGTGTTCTTTGTTGGGACCTTGTTATAAAGCAGTATGATAGCACAGACCATGAAATTCAGTATTTCTTCAAGCTGGTCCTTTTGCATGATTGTTTTAAACTGCACTAAGGGCTCTTTTAAAACGTACTGCAAAAATATTTTTAGTACACAAGCAGTACAGATAGAAAACTGCTTTCAAATAGGATTATTATTAAGTTTCCTCTTAAATATATGAATGCCATTTTACATTGCAACTGTTTTCTAGGGACGTAATACTAATAATCCTTGCATTTGATATGGTGCCTTATCATGTAATTGAGATGTCTCAAAGCGCTTTGCAGAATATGCTGTTAAATGGAGTGACTGTGTATTTTGTGGGCGAAACTTTTAATGACTATTTGTCAGCTTCCCAATATGCTCTGATTGATATTTTAAAAAATTATGTAAGGAGAGACTACATCATGAAGTGAAGTCCCCACAACCAACTGAAGAGTGTTAGTCATGAGTGATGAGATCATTCTCACCAGTGAAATATAAATAAAAGTTCACGCTTTGCATTCACAGCTTCTATTGATACCACAAGTGAGCAAAAAATTTAAATAACTTTCAGTAGAAACACAGTGAAGTTTTCCAGCTTCTGTAAATACCGATCTGTATCGAGCTAATGGTGATCATCACTAAAGAGATGGGTGTAGAGAGGTAGGCTGAGTCAGTGTTGCTGAACTACTGTGTTGTCTCCAAACATCAGCTGAGAATGGCTGCCCATTCCTCATAACTTCTCATCTCTTCCTATTCCTCATATCAACAACTTGCACTTATATGGCGCCCCTCACTCAAGTAGCGTCTCAGAGTGCTTCATAGTGGGGGGGAAAAAACAGATGGAGTCCTGTAGCTCAGTGGTTAGAGCACTCGCCTCGCAAGTGAAAGCCTGGGTTTGGTTCCCGGCAGGGTGAAACCTTGGGCAAGTTTCCTTACTCCACACAAACAATAATAAATTGGTCACTTCAATCCACGACTGTTTGTGGGACACTGCTGTGCACAATCGGCTGCCACGTATCGCCCACTAAATAGACAGTCAATTCACTTTACAGTATATTCTCTGAAGCACTTTGAGATGCCTCGAAGACATGAAAAGCACTATATCAAATGCAAGGATTATAGTGAGAAGAACGTCCGGAAATATTTTCAAAAAATGCTGACAGAGATTTAAAAAGGACAGAAATTAAAATGCATGGAAGATTCACTTTCTTCTCCTTATTTTATATGCATTGATATGATAGATGTGCATTTTATCGGCTAGATAAATTCTCCATCGTCCTAAGAGAGGTATCGTCTGTAGCATATCCTTCCCAGCATACCTGAGGTTTCCTTATTTTCCTTCACGGTAATGGTCTAATGGTGCTTACAATGTAAAAGCTATGTCCTGTCATCCTATCGAAGACCAGAAATAAAGGTCTGTGATGTGCAGTGTCAATCTAGTACCCTTAAATTACAACTCGTTTTCTTAATTGTTTTCTATTGAATTCTCCTAATGAACCATAAGCATAGATTTGGGGGGGGTAAGAGAATGAGAAGAATCTTGTGATGCATTCAAGCAGCCTTAGATCTTTTACATCAAAGCATCAAAACAAATTAGTTTAGCTCGTATTTCAGCTCGCTGACAAGCATATCGTATTGCTTACCAAGTCAGTCTTTTTGTCTATTGTGTCGCAAAGAAATTGATTTGTTCCAAATTACCCATGAAATGCAAAGAGATATAATTGAAGCTGATGTCGACTCCAAGCAAAACTGTCTAAAATGTCCAAACCATGTATCTGTTTATTTGCATCCTGTGTGCATCTTATCAGCAGCTTGACTTAGCAGGCCACACACTCACCTCTGGGTAGAAGGTTGTTGGGTTTAGGCCCCGTATTAGAACTTCAGGCTGACAATAGGAAACTCTTGTTCTTTACCTCTCGCTGTACCTGTTTAGATGGACACTGTTCAAAAAGAAAGTTTCTCCCAGTGTCTTGGCCAGTAATCTTGCGAATGAATTGATCGTGTTTGTGGATGGGACCTTGCTAGCACAAATGGCTGCTGTGTTGATCTACAAAACCAGGCACTATATTTGCCAGTAATTACCTGTGAAACACTTTGAGAGGATGGACTGTGTTCTGTAAAATATCAATTGCTATAAAAATCCAGGTTGTTGAAAATACTTTTCAATAATATAAAATGGCAGAATGTATGTTTTGGTTCCTGTGTCCAGTAATGGGCTCCACATTGGGGTGGGGGGGTAGAGTGGCCCCTGTCCCTATGGATGTAATTGGCTTCATGGTCAAATAGCTTTTTCTCATTCCATGTTTTTATAATGGACAAATGTCTCACAGGATGTGACTTCTCGCCGAAGATAAGGCTATACTAACTATCTGTGGTTTATTTTGTTTAAAAATGTGGCTGTTGAATAGCAAAGCAGATCCTGTTCTGTAAATGTCTTAAGTCAACTGAGAGCCAGCCAGATGATTGACAAACCTGACCTTTGGTATCACCCACTATGTATGTCATCTCTATATTGTGTGCGACTATGTACATGGCTGCACATTCTGTCTATTTGTATTAACACTCAAGAGAACAACATTAAAGCCAACCATTTTTAAGAGGTTGAATCTCTATATCTTGCTTTGTTCCTCTCGATCTTCTTTCAGAAAACCTGAATTTATTGGAAGATTTTATTCAGATAGATGATTTGCTGATTTTTGGATAGCATTTTTTTTGAATTATTCTTTACATGTTGGAATCAAGTGCAGTGCTAGCACTCTCCCCTCTGACACTGAAGGTTGTGGGTTCAAGCCCCAGGTCGGGACTTGGAATCACATAGTCTAAGCTGGCGTTCCAATACAGTGCGGGAGGTGTGCTGCAGATGAGACGTTAAACTGAGGTCCCATCTACCTGTTCAGGTGGATGTTAAAGATCCCATGACACAATTCAAAAAGAAAAGGGAGTTTCTCTCTCCCAGTGTCTTGGCCAACAATTCCCCAAATAAAATTGGTCACTCACTCTGTAGCTGTTTGTGGGACATTGCTGTGCGCAATTGTCTGCTGAATTTTGCCCACAAAATACACTTTACAGTATATTCTGTGAAGCGCTTTGAGACGTCTCAATGACTCGATAAGGCACTATATCAAATCCAAGGAATGTTATAGTTTTTATATTCTATGTTTCTTAACTTATATGGAGTACTAACACTGGCAGAGACTGGTTAGGGCACGTGGCTTGTTTCCATGCTGTATATTCTTTGTTAATCTTTGTGAATAGGTGATAGCACCTCCGGTTAACTTCTTATTCTAAAGGTTGGCACCTGTGGCAATGCAGCACTCCCCAGTGCTTCACTGGAATATCAGTTTAGGCTGATTTCAAAGTCCTGATGTGGGACTTGAACCCAAACCTTCTGACTCGGAGGTGAGAGTCCTGCCAACTGAAATGGTTCGGCAGGAAAGATGGTTTTAGGCCAGGACACTGGACTCGTTTTAAAAAAAACTTTATGCTATAATAATAATCCTTGCAATTGATGTAGCACCTTATCATGTCTTCAAGATGTCTCAAAGCATTTCACAGAATATACTGTAAAGTGAATTGGCTGTATATTTTATGGGCAAAACGCAGCAGCCAATTGCTCACAGCAGTGTCCCATAAACAGTCATAGATTGAGTGACCAAATCATTATTATTTTTTGAAGGATTTATTTATATAATGTATAGTGATGTGATCTACGACAGTGGAGGCCACAACTGGTGTCAGCGGGGATACACTGGCTCTCATTCCTCACTGCGCAATTCTGTTATACTCTCCAGCAGGCGCACATACCCTAGTGATAGCTTCACATGTGCACAGCAGCCACGTCTGTGTGTGAAACGTCCTGTAGGAGATGGTGGTACCCCAGCATATAGTCAGGAGAGGAGACAAACTGACATACTGGTGTCTTAACTGCTTAGTTTGCACAGAGGAAGGTGGCAGTTAATGCTCATTCACTCACAACATTTCACCGACAAAATGTATAGTCAATTTCAGTCCCCCTAATAAAATTGGTCCCCCACTTGATAGCTGTTTGTGGGACATTGATATACCCAAATTGACCGCTGCATTTGCCCATAAAACACACCATCTTTCTGGTTAGTTTTTGTATATAATATATAATCTTGCATTTGATGTAGCACCTTATCACATCTTCTAGACGTCTCAAAGCGCTCCACAGAATATACTGCAAAGTGAATTGACTGTATATTTTGTGGACAAAACGCGGCAGCCAATTGCGCACAGTATTGTCCCACAAACAGCTATTATTTTTTTAAAAATTTGAAGGGATTATTAGTGGTAGGTATTCTGGAAGAATGAGATTAATGAGCCTGAGGGCCTTCTTCATCCAAACTTCTCTTGTTATCTGGTGTGAGTGTCTTATCCCAGGTCCCTCTCGTATCCTAGAGCTATTATTAACCTTCACGGTCCTTGTGGGCGAGACGGGGTCTCTAAAGAGGAGCAAGAACCTGTATCTCACCCAGGAGGACTGTGAAGGTGATGCTTCTTAATGTTTGCTTTTACAATAGCCGTGCATTTCTCACAATGTCCTTCTGTTTTACAGTTGATGTTTTTAAACAGATCACTATCCCGTCTGTGTTCATTGGGGATAAAGCAGCTAAAATCCTCATGGAAGAATTTAGCCTTGAAAAAGGGTGAGTAGTTTACTGCATGTCAATATATTTTCTATTACGTTTAAATCAATAACTTTAAACTAAATCCACAAGCCTAATTACTAACATGTTTTGCCTAAGCAAGTAAGAGATTCTTTATTAAACAGCAAAGCTCAGAATTCTGAAAACACTAGAGGTTCATTTGTCTGGTTTATATTATAGCCTGTGTGTCTTGTGCTGAAACAACCAATAATTTGTCTGTAAACAGTTCAGTATGTAAGACTCATAAAAAGAAAAATCTTCAATCCAAAGATTATATGTCTGGAGTAAATAAACGTTTTCTTTTTTTAAAAGTTCCATTTGTTCAAAAAAAATCATTGCGTAGGAATTTAAGCTTCATTGATTTACTCCGACTGAAAAATGTTATGGACAATTAGCGAGGTCCTAACTCTGCAGTTTGTCAGTGTGTTGTAAGTACTCTGAGTGCTGGTGGGGAAGAGGGAATATTTTCAGAGCTACTCCCCTTGTGCTATTTGCAGCAGTCCAATACATGTAAGGTTATGTATTCCCTTTCTCATAGAGACCAGTCTCGGGCTATGCCTTGCTCTGCTTAGGTAAATTATTATGGAGACAACTCTTGGAAAATTGTTGCTTTGGAGCTGATCTGGTGGGAGGTGACCAGACTGGAAAAAAAGCTGATGTATTATCAGCACCTATTATACTCTCTTTATAAGAGTTGTCCTGCTAATTTTGGTTTTACACTACAAGTGAATTCAAACAATGGACTCCAATCGCATTATATTAATGGCTGCAAGATGGTATGTGAGACTGATCCAGGTTACGTTGAATGGAATTATCCACCGTCCTCTTTGCCCTCGTTTCTCTCTCCTCAGCCCACTTCGCAACAGCATTGCCGTTTGTATACAGGCCTGCCTGCTATCATCCACCCACCACTACTAGTTTTAATGTGTCCATTACTTGGTTTGATGCTGGAATTCCAGCTGAGAAAATATTGTGTGTGATTATATGCCCCCTTCCAATCAGTCAGTGTGCTAGAGCTCCATATCTATGACTATCTGAAGCCTCTTTGTCTTCTCCTTATTAATGTGCGGGAGTACCAATTGCGTTAGGAACCAAACAGCATTCAATTATTGAAGAACTGAGTTGCTGCAGTGCTATCAGCAATGTGTGTGGCTTTCTTTAATTTATCTTCCTTTAAAGGTAGCCTTTATGAATCCCCTGTTCTAACAAGCTGTGGAAATCAATGCTCTGGTACTTTACATCTATGAGCTCTTGTCATTTGAAAAATGTTGTTGCCCAGCAGATTTATTCCTCAATTAATTGGACACTGGATTGACTTGTGCAAGTTGCTGTTCTTTGCCACTGCCTCTATGTTCTGTTCAAATGTCTACATTGAGCAAAAATCTGCCTCAGTACTTATTTTTAATCCGATTTCAGAAGTGTCATCTTCAACAGAACCTAGACCCTAGCCAGGGCCCAGGACACTGGGTTCTGTTTGGAAAACTCCAGTGACACTTCTGATAAAATTACAGAATAAATCAACTAATACAGTAGAACACTGCTACAGCAGAATGTTGCTCAACTACAAACCAACTTTTCCACATTGGCCTACAATGTGGGAGTGAAGTTGTGCTGCAATTTTGGCAAATGTGTTCAGTTGCTCACATATTAACGGGTACGTGACATTTTTTGGTGTCACACAGTACAGAGATTTGATCGATTTAAGCAAGTACAGATTAAAGAGAGAGACAAATGCAAAGAGATCCTTTACCTATACTTTTTGACATTCACGATGGGGCTGCATATATTGGGCTCTTTACCGTTAGAATCATGGACTTTTACAACACAGGGCCTGTTCTGGTGTTTCTCACCATATCAACCACCTACTCTTGGGCTTACTCCCCACACATTCTTTAATATTCCTCCTCTTCAAGCAGATGTCTTTTCCCCTCTGAGTGAGAAGGTTGTGGGTTCAAGCCCTATGTCAGAACTTTCAGTTCATAGTCTTGGCAATTCACTCCAGTTCAGTGTTAGGGATGGGGTTGTATTGTCAGAAGTGCCATCAATCATTGCCAACACATCAGTGTTTTGAGATTCACTCAGGACAAAGTTGCATTCTTTCAGTGAGAAATTAAACTGAGGTCCCCTCTGCACCTTCATGTAAAGAAGCTATAGCACTGCCCACTGACTTAATTTCTCTGTCTCTCTGTACTTGTGGCTTGTGTTCATCACAGTTTACATCGCCCAGCTTAGTGTCATCTGCTAATTTACATATACTCTCCTCTGTTCCTGTATCTAGGTCATTGACATACAGTGGGGGAAAGCTGGTACTCTGGGATCCACAATTGGTCTGTGCTGCAAATTAGATCTCTTCTATACAAGCATTCCATCTTCCTATATTCAAACCGGTCTCCTATCAATGACACAATATTGCCTTCAAATCCATGCGCCTTCATTTTTCCTTTCTGATTTCACTTCTAGAAATGTTATAGCGTTTTCCTACTGTGCCATTCCTGTAGCAACACTAAATGCTGAACTTAGAAAAATGAACTCCATTTCTTATTAGATGTGTGAATGTGTTAGCCACTTAATATTTGACTTTCTACCTTTGTCGTCTACGGTAGCTGTTTCTTGGTTTTACCTTTTGATATTTTTAATTACTTACTTCGATATGATTAATTAATCCCTACCAAATTACTGTAGTTTAATTGGTGAAATTCTAGCACGTGGAACTTCCCAAATTCTTGTTCTTGTTACAATTGTAGTTGAATGTTTCAGGCAGAGATATTTAACCCAGATTCACTCCAGTTTACATCATAGGTCAAGTGCAGTCATGATGACCTCACAGTTCAGGTCCTCAGCACTGCTCGCTGTTCAAGCATCAGGAGACAAAAGATCATAATGGCCTCGGTTTATAAATACAAGTTCATAAAGCTCGAGCTTCCCTTTTTATTTATTTTTACATCATTAATATGTCCACAACCTGATGCTGCCTAGATCCCTACTAGTGTAACAATGTCAACTGCAGCCAAGGAACCAATATGATGATCATTGTTGTTATGTGCATTTTAGCAGCATTTCTGGAAATGTGTTTCGATGGCCATCACCAGTTGCGCTACAGGAACTATCTGCAAACTTTCTTTGTGATTATCTTTCTCCACAGTGGCCACATAGTGATTCTGCCTGATTTCAGTCTGCCACTGGAGTACTATCTCATTCCGTTCCTCATCATCGTGGGAATCTGTTTAATCCTGATTGCTGTGTTTATGGTACGTATCAGTTCTGGGTTAATAAGGTGTCATTGTGGAGTTATGAAATATTTCACACTGAGTTGATAGAGTTTCTGACATGTTCTGGGAATGAACTTGTGTTTGGTACTAATTTCTATTCTTCCTCAATGAAGAGCCAGCTAATCCCAGTGTAAGGCTTCATGGTGATTAATAGCATAATTAGAACCCATTCCTGTTCTTTGGCAGCATCTACTTTCAACTCAACTCTTCTGACAACTGCGGTGTTTGTAAATATTTCAAGCTTCTTCAATATCTTCAAAATTGGAAATGTAATGTATTTTTTGCATCTTGTAATTGTATTCAACATTTCCAAATCATTTACTGGCCTTGTTGTAAGCAACATGGCATTGGGAATGTAAATATGGCCTACTTCCCTGCTAGGACAATATAATGTTTACTGTCTATCCTCAAGATAGAACCCCCGTAAAGCAGCACCTCTCTAAACCAAGCAACTAAAGAGTCAGGTTAACGTACTTTTGTGTTGTGGCTTGAAGCCCTCAATTCAACGACTTAGTCACTTTGAGCCTTTGACACTCAACAGAAATTTGTGAACTGCTGCTAGTTCAGGTGACCTGCTGCAAAATTAGAGTTGTCCATTGGACTCCAATTCCCTTCCTAAGGTCCCACTGTAGATCGCTATCCAGTGACTCCTGCTGGACATTGGTGAGAATGGAGTCAGGCTCAACGGAGATGTCCCCCACAGACCAGAGCTGTTCCCCAAGAGATGGAAAAAGAACACAAATAATTTCTGTGGAGGGATTAATAAAAATTAATCATATTAATCTAAGTATTCTTCTGGGTGTAATTAAATATTACTTGAGGCAGATGTAAGTAAATCTCTGAAAACTGGGTGATGGACTACGTGTAAAATGTATTGCACTAATGATGTATGGAGCGTGTTATGGCATTTCGTTGCTCATTGAGAAGGCTGAGTACTTAGTAGCATGGAAAAACACATGGGGAGTGATTACTGACTTGATTGCTGGAGCCAGTGATGTATTCATTAAAACAAGGAAATTTCATGTTGTACAGATATATCCTAACTCCTGTGAGGTAGCATCTGTGTCTATAAACTATTCTTGTCTCTTAGAATGGAATTGTATTATCTGCAATTGCTTCCTGTCTGCCACATTGTATATTGACACTTATTCCCTTCATATTTTGTGACCTTCTCGTCGGAGGCAACTTAGGAATCAATGCGGATGAAAATTATGCTAAAAACTTATTCCAGCTAGCAGAGAACAATCAAACACTAACATATTCCTTTCCTCAGCACTAACATTCTTAGCTTGAGCAGCAAAATTCAGAGACCAAAGAGAGATACAATCTTGTCAGCTGGTATGCAGTACTGTTGGTATCAAAAAGCCCCATCTCTACCACTATCTACCCCAACATACAACACAGTTATGCCAGAAATTAAAGTCTATTGATTAGACATTTAATAATCCTGGCTGAACTGAGAAGCTGGGTGAAGTAGAACCATTGATTATTGGCTATGACGAATAGAACCAATTTTATTAGGAGGAAGAACCAGGTTTCTCTGTCAGGACCACCTAATGTTTAATTCATAGGACTGAGGACATGTCTACATCTACTAATCTTGTGGATAATAACAACAACAATTTGCATTTACATAGCACCCCTCATGCAGGGTGGTGTCACAGAGCACTAAGATATATAGATCAAACAGCAACCGTATCTTGCAATGCAAATTGACATTTAATATAAAGCCTTTCACATCAGACAGATGTCCCGAGGCATTTATCAATCCTGGCTTGACACCCGAACTGAGGTTGGGAGCCGAGGTGGTGAGGAGGGGAAAGATGACTGACAGCACAGTCAAAGAGGTAGGTCTTGAGACTGACAAGGTGAAGGAGGGAATGAGTCGAAAGGATTCCGGGATGGAATTCGTGAAAAAGGCTGAAGGCCCATGTGTCCACCAATGGTGGTGCAGGTAGGACAAGGTGGGACGTTACTTTGGGACTGCCTGTCTTCACCAGACCGGTCTGCTCAGAATCAGGTCAAAGAAGTTACATTTCACCTGAAAAGGGTGGAGGCAGAGAGAACCCACTGAGATTCAAATCAGGGAACATTGTAACTCCAACTTTGCTATCCATTACGGTACGTAGCAGGAAACTGATTACCCACCAAAGAAATGAATGGGTGGGAGAAAATATCTCCTTCTGGAATATTGTTATTGAATAAAACTTAATCTGAAATCATTTTATTTTCCAGATCTCCAAATTTATTCAAGATCGACACAGAGCAAGGCGGAACCGTTTACGAAAAGATCAACTGAAAAAGCTTCCAGTACACAAATTCAAAAAGGGTAAGTGCATGCTGTTTCCAGTGAACTTTCTCATCTGCAGTCTGAGGTCTCCTGCTTTATTTCAATAGTGTTACTAACTGTAAAGGTAGGCACGGGCAAGGGCATGGAAGGCCTTGAAGGCAAGGACATTTAACTCTATCTTCTGGGGGATGACAAACTAGTGGAGCCAGGTGAGGTTGGGGGGTGATAGGGTCACGAAACCTGTTGCGGGAGAGGACACAAACTGCAGAGTTGTGGATGATCTGCAGCTTGTGGAGGGAAGAGTTGGGAAGGCCGACAAGCAGGGAGTTGGTATAGTCGAGCCTCGATGTGATGAATGCGTGAAGGTTTCGGCGGGGTGAGGGGTGAGGCAGTGGCGGAGCTGGGTGGTTTTGTGGAGGTGGGGGAAGGCAGAGCGGGTCATGGCAAGGACATGGGTTAGAAAGGACAGTTGAGGGTCAAATAAGACTTCAGGGATCCGGACTGGCTCAGTGAGGTGGAGTGTGCATCCATGGATGGTGATGTTATCAATGCCTGGTGTGTGGAGGTGCTGATGGGAGCCAATCAGGAGGGCCTCAGTCTTGTTGACGTTCAAAGATGTTTGAAGCTAAACATTGTATGCAATAAACCAACAGAGATTTTTGTGGTCAACCACAAAATATGCCTGGCAATTATCTTAAGAATATCATCACCATGATTAATGGCAATGGCTCAATGTCCTTAGTTGAACTCCAGCAGTTATCCCAACACAGGCTCTGGGGTCCCCAAGCCTTATCTCTTGCCAGCTTGCGCCTAATACTCTCCAGAATTCAGTGAGCAGGATGCATCCCTCCAGGGAGAGAGTGCACATTCCAGTCCAATACATATGAATTTCCATGTGTAGGTGGGAGGCTTGTATCTGTTTGGTTTGGATACTCTTTAGCAAGTTGATGGATTTCCACATGTGTCAAACACTAAACTGACCCCCCAAAAATTCTCTGCCTGCTCTTCTTGCCTTCTCTCTTGCTCAATGAATCGCTGTCTGGCTCTCGCTGTCTGGCACTCGCTCTGTTGCTCACTTGCATCCGCCCTTTCTCTTGTGCCCTCTCTCTCTGTCTGTTTGTCTCTCGCTCTCTTGCTCGCTTTCACTCTCTCTGTCTGGCTGGTTCATGCTCCCTTTCGTTCACTCTGTCTGTGTGTGTGTGTGTCTCCTCTCTGTCCTTCATTCTCTCGCTCTCTCTCTGTGCCTGCTGAATCAGCATTACTTTCAAGCTTTCATTTTCTTTGATTTCCCAGAGTGTGCATGGCCTGAATGCTAAACAGCCCTCAACTAATTGCCAGGCTGCTGTTTAGGGGGCTGCAGCGTCTTTGAAGAAGGCGACAAAAGTTTGGAAAATTGCCCAACTTTCAGTGGAGCAATGTCTGCGCATGTTAAATGTAATTCTCATTGAGATCTGGGGGTGTGGGGGTGAAGGAAGACATTTTGATCTATGTTGTAGGGGCGCAAAAGGAATTTCATTTTTAAAAGTGAAGGGTTTTAATTCGATGCTGATTTATTTTCTGATAATGAGTGTTATCTGGTATTTTTCTGGCAGATCATCAAAATGGGACAATTGTGTAGTTGTTTGCTTTAAACAGGAAAAGCAAATCATGTGAGATCTTATTGACTGCTCCTATAGTTGGCACACACAGCATCGCGCACTGAGAATAAGCCAGTCTCCACTTGAGGGTTGGGCAGCAGAGTTTGAGATTGTTGGCATAAATTAGGAATACCGTGATCTGCGGCCATGAGCATTGTGATGTTTTGGTTTAGCAGACTGGACACAACAAATGTGTACTTAACAGGCAATTTTTCAAAATTACACAAAGGATTAATGTAAAGAGGTGAAGCTTTTAAACTACCGACTGGCATTTGGTGACTGGGTGCCCTCACTGGAACATTCAGATCCACCCTGGATTTTACAATAATAAGTCAAATCTTTTGGGCTAATATCAAGGTACATCCTGAAGGCCCACATGACCGTTTGAATGATTTCTATTAGAATTTATTATGCAGTAGCTGCAAAGCTTCAGTGGCAAGTGGGGGAGGAGAGAAAAGTGTGGTGGGTGAAGAGCTTCTGTGTTTGTCATAAGAATAAGATTTTCAAGACGATAGTTTTGAGGTGTTTCTACAGAGCAAGTTAATGTAAACTCTGCCAGCATTTCCCTTCTGTTGATGTCACTTCGTGGTTCTCGTTCTACCTCATTGGCTTCTCCATTGAAACTGGAGTAAGTGGCTCCACCCAGAGCGCAGTGTACAGGTACACAATGACATGCCAACCTACATTGAAAACATTTCTTCTCTGCTCTAAACTGAGTCAGATGATCTCAGAGGGAAAATAGATAGGCTGGTAGAGTTGGCCTCTCCAGACAAGAGAGGGCTAAAGTGGGCAAGGAAATTGTGTGTGCCTGTGTGTGTGTATGTCTGCTCTTGTGTAATGCCCACCTGGTTGAGCATAGGCTCCTGAGATTCACAATCTCTGCTCTTACACTCAGGGTTGCTCCACCTCTTTGTTACCATTGCTGTAACACTCCGAGACACCATCCTGGACAGGGGCACTTTTTAATTATAAGGTGTTAATGTTGTTGCTGATCACTAAGTAGGCCAGTGGCATATTCAAGGGGAGAAGTGACTTTGATATATGGCAGTATATAGTGGGGATGGGGTGCAGGTGTATAGTGGGGACGGGGTTCTCTGACAACTAGTGTTGGAGATTGCTGAATAGCAGGATGTATTCCCTGTCTGATTTATCTGGAGGAGGTGGAGGATGGAATTTGTGCATTCCTAGGATTGATCCGACCATGAAGAAACTATTTGAGCTTTTAGTTTGCACAAGACATTAATTTCATGGTGCATTTGTTTTGCAACAGCCGAGTTCTGAAACTGTCTGGGTCATCCCGCTGTGGAAATACTTGGGCTAAAGTGGGCAAAAAAATTGTGGGTCCTTTGGGAGCTTGAAAACCCTACAAACGCAACTAGCTAGTCAGCTCACAACTCTGTGGGTGATCCTCTTCTGGGGTTGGACCATCCAGGCTCACTTTTCTGGTACGAAGCTGTTTTTCTGGTCTCTATGCAGCACCCAGCTGGCTAAACCACACTCATCTTGTGTATTTATTGCCTTCTGGATGCAGAGCCTGAGTCTGAGGCCTTGTCAAAACTACCTCTCCTGGGAACTTGTGCATTCCAGGATTAATCCAACCATGCCATGCAGGAATATTAAAGGATGTGGGGAGCAAGCAGTATTCTGAGAATAGATTGGCTTCTGCATGGGAACCTGATGCTTAGGATAAGCCAACACCCATAATCAGAAGACAAATACATGATGTTCTACTGTACTGTAGTAATAATAACACGGGTACCATTGTACAAGAGCAGCTTTAGAATAATGGTGCATCTGGAAAGTGACGGCGTTTATCCATGGACATTACTTGAGTGTTATCACAAGAGAGATTTAGATGAACAAGGACCTTTGGCCCCACTCCCCCTGCCCCCCCCCCCCCCCACAGCTTTTTGTCTGGATGGGTTCATGTATCAGGAAACAATTGTGCAAAGTGGACAATAAAACCTCTGTTTTCCGCCAGCTGTCAATCTACTGCCACCCAGTTCCACTCTGTTTTCATTCCCTCTTAGCTTTTACATGTAATGAGATACTGATGATATTTGCCTTGAGCTATTTTCTCTCCACATAAACTTTTACCTTAAACATAGACTTACGATAGGTGCAGTTGGATAAGTGTTGGCTGTGGCAGTTGGCACGAGACAAATAGGCAATTGAATCTGGGCATTTATACTAGCTCTAAAATAAATTCACTTACTTTGCCCACAAAACATACAACAAATAATTTCATTTGTATAGCGCCCTTCACGTCGGGAGGACTTCTCAGGGGCGCTGGACAGTCAGGGATTTGGACCCGAGCAGGGGGTTGGGATCAGGAGGGGTGGCTGAAGATGCTGTCAAAGGGGAAGGTCTTGAGATGTGCCTTGAAGAAAGCAAGGGAGGGAGCAAGTCTGAGGGACTGTGGTATGGCATGATAAGGTGCTATATCAAATGTGAGGATTATTATTACTAATATTAGATGGTGCTTAAAGCAGCCATAATCAATAAATTCCAAACTGATGAGCTTCTGCCAGTGTCCTGGTTGAAAATTCTCCAGGTACCTCAGGTCTGTTTATAAGATCTTGCCGTGTACAAAATGGCTGCTTTGTTTGACTACAAATAGACTATTGGTACCCTTGATAGCATGTATCCGTGAAGTGCTTTGAGACATTTCACATAAGTGCCCTATTATATAGAAAGATTACTAGAATTATTCACTATAATAGGATGATTGGCTATCAGAGCCATCATTCAGTTAATTATTATTATGATTGTTAGATTTTTTTATAATTATAGATAATTATACTTATTATTGCTGATTGGCTATCTTATTATTCTAGGTCCAGTTAATGGTGTCAGACTATTGGGTGCCTCCAGTTCTGTTTATCACATTTCATCATTCAATTTTAACATAGTTTTCTTTGGGATGAGCCAATCTTGTCCCTTTGCAGTTCAATATCCACTTAGTTTCCTCCAGAAGATGTAGGCTGTCACAATGTCCACAGCTCATTTTTATGTTTCTTTTAAATCCACTGGGATGTAGTCTATAAATAAATCAGTTTAAATATTCCATCAAGCCACCAACCAGGTCAGCAAAGTGTCACAGAGAGGCATTGGAGCAAATCCTGGTTAAACATACGTTGTAAGCATGAGAGTGGTAGTCCAGCAGACTGAGCTAAGTAGTCAAACCCAGGTAGCACTCACAGATCTCCCCGGCAACCTGAATTTGTACACGGTACCAGAGACTGGATTTGAGTTGAGTGTGTGTTGTAGCCAATGAAAGATTCAAAGCTCTCTCAGAAGGCATTAGAATTGTGGTGTTGAATTCCAGTGAAAAGAGATCTACTGTCACAACACGTTCATTACAGATATATCCGAGAGTGTGAGTAGGACATCACTGACTGA